TGCAAACCAGGACAGTATTAAGTACCCACTACAGGCCTGGCCCTGACCAGGAAGCATGGATACCAGGGTCCCATCCCCAGGACTGTGAGTGTGCTGGGATGAGACCTGGCATCAGGAATTCTAGACGTTCCCCAGGTAATAAATACATTGTGTAACCTCAGTTGGAGACCACTGTAAGACATCTGTCCATCTCCAAGGACATCAAGACAAAGCCAAGCAGGGGTCAAAGTCAAGAGAGGCACATGCAGCATAGAGGCCTGCACAGGAGGGTCAGTGGAGGACTGTGGGGAGTAGGGTGAGGCACAGGTAGTATGTCTAGAAGGCAGACCAGGGCTCACATCCCAGCTTCATCTAGACCACTGGCCTTGGGCAAGTGATTAAAGCTTCTCTGAGCTCTTTTTCATTACCAGAAGTAGAGAAAATCAAATCGGTGCCCAGCCATCATCCTGATATCTAGAGAAACCAGTCAACCATGCAGAGCACCAGGTTGAGATCAGCAGGGACAAGGGGAGTTCATGGAGCAGAGGGGCATGCTACTGACTGGGGTGGACAGGGATGTTGGGAGAAAGAGGAAAGCTGTAGGTTAGGGGCTCAGGAATGAGAGTCCCAAGTACTCTGGGGCACACAGAGTCCCGTTTCTTTAGCACATGGGAGACTAGAGCCAGACCCACCAGAAAAGTCCAGGGGCAGGAGGATGGAGCAGGCTTGGGCGGGGAGCACAGCAGCAACTGTGGCAAGGAGGGACAGGTACCTGACCCTGGTGGCAGCGTGGGGGTTCTGCAGTCCATCCACACCCTCGCCTCTCCTTCCCTGCACCACGCAGGCTGGAGCCCAGCCTGGGCTAGAGGGGCTAGGGAAGACAGTCTCCTGCCACTCTGCACATGACTGGTCAAAGGACTCATGGGGCCACCCCGCCCCCCTCCCTCTGGTTAATGCATAATCGTATCAGACTTGGAGACTGAGTGACAGGCAGCCAAGTGGATGATTGCCCAAAGTGGCCTCCTGCTGCAGAGATCACAAGGGCTTCTCACACACTGGAAGCCCCTAGTCTCTCCCTCCATCAAGTCAGGACAGACTGGGAAGGAGACCTCAGACATGCTCTTGTGGGACTCGGTACTAGTGACCTGTCCCTGACTCGGTACTAGTGACCTGACCCACGGTGGCCGCAGCAGCAACTTGGATGAATTCTCACCTAGAGCTGAGAAACAGCCAATTAGCCTCATTATTCCCAATGCAAAACCAGACCAGGACCGTGGCCATTGTCACATTTAGTGTGAACCCTAGGCTTCTTTGTTAAGTTGGGTTTTTTTTTTTTTTGGTCAGAATATAAAATAGTGGGTCTCCCCTTTATATATGTGTGTGTGTGTGTGTGTGTGTGTGTGTGTGTGTGTGTGTGTGCTTGTGTGTAAGTGCACATGTGGGTGTGTATATCATGTGGAGCCCCAAGGTTGATACTGGGTACCATCCCCCTTCTCTTCCCTTATTCTTTGAGGCAGGGTCTGCCAATCAAAACCCTGAACTTGCTGATATGGCTAGTCTTGTTAGCCAGCTTGCTTCGGAGATCCCGTCTCCTTTCCAAGGCTGGAATTACAGGTAGGCTGCCACGCCCACCCAGCATTTATGTGGGTTCTGGGGAATCTGAACTCTGATCCTCATGTTTGCACAGCAAGTGCTTTAACCACAGAACCATCTCCCCAGCCCCGAAACCCACATAATGGGTTTTGTTATGACATTTAAAAAATATATTTTATTTATTACTTTTATTTTCTGTGTATGAGTATGTTGCTTTCACATATGTAAGTGTACCTGTGTTGTGCAGTGCCCATAGAGGTCAGAAGCGAGCGTGGGATCTCCTGGAACTGGACTTATGGATGGTTGGTTGTTAGTCACCATGTGGGTTCTGGGAATCGAACCCGGGTCCTCTGCAAGAGCAACCAGTGCTCTTAACCGCCGAGCCGTCTCTCCAGCCCCCAGTCCTCTCAATTCAACATTTGAGAGAAACCCAGAGAGTTGCCTTTCTGGGCCTGATTTTCTTTGTCCTGTTTAGTTTTTATTGTCAACTCGATACGCCTAGAGTCACCTGGGAAGAGGATCTTCAACGACTGATTGCCTAGATCAGACCGGCCTGTGGAGAGCTGTTTTGATTGTTCATCAATGCAGGAGGGCCCAGCTGGGCTGCACCATCCCTAGGCAGGAGGGCCTGGGCTGTATAAAAAAGCCAGGTGAGCATGATCCAGTGAGCCGGCCAGCAAGCAGCATCCCTCCATGATGCTTGAGGACTTCTGCTTGAGTTCCTGCCCTGGCTTCCCTCAGTGATGCACGGTGACCTGGAAGGGTGAGTCAAATAAACCCCTCCCCCAACCCCCAAGTTGCCCTTGGTCTGAGTGTTTCCATCACAGCAACAAAAGGAGACTAAGACGTTGGCGAACTACTTGAAAGTGACCTGGTTTCATCCTTGTTTGTGGCTGAGTGAAACTACATGGTATCCGCTCACCACATTTTCTTCACTCGATCGTCTGTGGATGGACTAGGCTAGTGCAAGAAGTGCTGCCATAGAAACGTGCAGGGGCCGGTAGTATTCCAGCCCAGACTTCTAGCCACAGGATCTGGCCTCAGCTTTTCTCACTCAGCAGGGAGAGCAGATCTGTTCTGAGTACTCCCAGTACAGCTGGCACCTCATTGGACAAGTGAGACAGAGTGACTGGGGATGCAACTCAGTGGTAGAGCATTTGCCTAGCATGAGTAAGGCGCTGGGTTCAATCCCAATACTGCAAAAAAAAAACCCCAAAAAACCAAATGAGGGGCCCTCAAGATGGTTCAGCGGGTAAAGGCACCTACTGCCCAGCCTGATGCCCGAGTTGGATCCCTGGGCCCCACACAGTGGAGAGACTCAACGCCCACAAGTTGTTTTCTGACCCCCACTCCCACTGTGGCACACATGCAGCATAAAATAAATAAATAATGTAGCCGGTGTGGTGGTGCACACTTATAATCCCAGCACTCCGGATGCTGAGGCAGGCAGATCTCTGAGACTGGTCTACCTAGCGAGTTCCAGGCAGGCTGAGGCTACAAAGAGACCCCGTCTCAAAAAGACCAATAAGTAGGGGCAGGAGAGATGGCTCAGAGGTTAAGAGCACTGACTGCTCTTGCAGAGGACCTGGGTTCGATTCCCAGCACCCACATGGCAGCTACGAACCGTCCTTAACTCTAGTTCCAGGAGAATCCAAAGCCGTCTTCTGACCTCCACGGCATTGCACAACACAGGTGCACTCACATACATGCAGGCAAATACCCTCATACACATAAAATAAAAATAATAAATATTTTTTAAAAAAGACCAATAAATAAATATGTAATAAAATTTATAAAATAACACAACAACCAAATGAGAGAGCTGGGTGTGGTGGCTCACACCTGTAATCCTAGCACTCAAGATGTGGTGGCAGCAACATCAGGAGTTCAAGGCCAGGCGGTAGAGAGACGGCTCGGCACTTAAGAGCACTGGTTGCTTTTTGCAGAGTGCCAGGGTTCAGATCCTGGCACTTACATGGCAGCTAACAACTGTCTGTGACTCCAGTTCCAGGGGATCCAACGTCCTCTTCTGGCTTCCGTGGGCATTGCACACATGTGATGTACTTAAATACACATAGGCAAAATCCACGTAAATCAAAATAATAATAACAATAAAGAGTTCAAGGCCAGCCTGGACTGCAGGGGACCCTGTCTCAAAATCAAGGCAAAATCAAACAAGCAGCAAAGATGGCAAATTTAAGCCATTTTCTCCGAGTCACATGAGCTGACAGTGATGAGGGCACAGATGCAGCTTCTTAGCCAGGTTCAAGGTTACTGCTCAGTTGAACATCAGGTGAGATTGCTGCGTCTGAGCTGGCTGCTGGTTAATGAGTTCTCTGTGATTAGAAGTATGCAAAGCCTCGGCTGTTGCCAGGGGCTCTGCAGAGGGGCTTCGAGACCTCCGGTATATGTGGAGGGCTGCAGAGGCGTCTTCAGCCCTGTGAGGAGACTCTTTCCTGTGCCTCATGTCCTCGAGCCCAGTGCCACACCTGGAATGGCAGAGTATGGGGTTTCCTCCCACGGGGGTGCGGGGAGCTCATGTCTGACTCAACATGTGTTCCCCACACCGGGTGCACGTCGGATTATCTGGGGGAGCCAGAGCAGAGGGGCACCCCATAAGGGTACATCACAGACAAGCTGCCTTGTCAAGCAACTAGCTCAGAAATCTGACGACTGTCACAGCTAGATTCTTGTGACCCCCCACTTTACAGACAGGGAGCCCAGGCTTGGAGGGGCTGAGCCATCTAAGTCACCTAGCGTAATAATGCTAAAAATGACCTTTCAGGGGGTCTTTCAGCTCTGTGCCTTTTCTTAACATTTAGGGTTTGGGGCTTTTGTTTTGTTTTGGTTTTTTTCCTCCCTCTGACACCCAGGCTGGCTGGAACCCACTGCCATCCTCAAGTGCTGAGATGCGAGCCACCATGCCTCACTACACACTTATTTAATCCTCATAACTACCCTGGGAGGTAGGAGCTAGGATTCTTTAAAGAAAAAGAAAAGAAAAGAAACGGAGGCTGCAGTTTTATAATTCCCCAAGGCTGTAGAGTTAACAGGTCCATGTGGGGGGGTGTGCACGGCCGTCAGATTCAGATCTGGAGTGGGGAGGAGCAGGTAGAACACCGGCCCAACAGACAGCCACCTTTCCCACCCTGGTGGTCTTGGGGTGAGCCTTACTCTCTGCTCAGGGCCTCAGCTTCTTGCTCTGTGAAACCCAGAAGAGAGTGGTGAAGGGCCGTCATCTTCCCTGACTCCATCCTCACCCACAGGTGAGTTCTGGGCAGCAAACCAGTTGGCATCCCTGCTCCCGCTCGGTGCTGTGAGCCAGGGAGCTGTCAGGAGGGGATGATCCGCCTCACTTCCTCCACCTCCTTTTCCTCCTCCTCCGGGGCCTGGACACACCTACTCAACTTTCTCAGCAGCCTCTGAGTTGGGGCTGCATTGAGTACCTTCCTGCTCTGCTCCTCTGCACCTCCTGGAGCCGGCAGCTGGGCCCTGGGGACAGGGGCTCCAGGCCACTCTTCTTGGGTACCCTCCTCCGCCAGAGGGGTACAGGTAAGACTCAGCGAGGGACAGAGAGGTTGGGGCCAGGATTGTGAGGTGATTCTGTTGTACCTGATCCCAGAGCAGGCTGGCATGGGGTCCTGGAAGGTGACGAAGAAACCAGGAGCAGAAGGGAAAGACAGTGGGGGTGGGGTGGACAGGGATGCTGGCCTTAGTTTCCCCAGGTACACTGGGGACAGCGATGTGGCCAGTCTACACCTGGGCACTGGGCAGCAGGCCCCTCAAAGGACGAGGCAGGGACTCTGAGCTTGAGGATGAGGAAGGTCATATCTGCATGTGGAGAAGGCTGGACTTGGGTCCCTGAAAGACTTGCCCCTTCCTGGGTTTTCCAGGGACAAGGCTTCATGTTGTATGTGGGAGATACCCCTTGTACTTTTAGAAGACAAGCTGGGGCAAGAGGCTTGCTCCATACATGTCTCGTGTGGGGGGCACAGGGACCCCATGGCACTCAAAGCTACTTGAAGAGGAGGGAGAATCTGGATGGTGTCAAACAGCCCAGCCACCCACGTCTCCCCTGGCAGTGCTCTGGGAGTGCCACATAGACCCTTGGTTTTCCTGACTGTACAATGGAGATGCATGCTATGGCTAAGCACTGGGCAAGGTCGGGGGTCTGAGAGGTCCCAAGGGCAGCACTGACGCAGGGCACTGCACGGAGCAGCTTGGCTCCCCTGTCTGGGGAAGCAGGACTTGAGGTCAGAGAGCCAGAGTGAGATGCCAAGCTGAGACACAGGGCCTGGGTTCAGCACTCCATGAGAGAGGGGGGGTGCTGTTTGCCCCACATGGGGAGCGGCAAGGCCTTGCTGAGGCTTGCTAAGAGCACCTAAAACCGCCTCTGCCCCAGTCAATCTGCCCCAGTCAGATCTGCCACAGTCGGGATCCCAAAACCACGTCTGGGCTCATGGCAGAGAAGAGAGGGGTAGAGAGACTCAGGATGTAAGCACCTCTAATCTAGCCTTCAGCCTCGCTTGCCAGGTGGGGAGCCTCCGGCTGGTTCACATGCCGTGGCCTATGACGCAGATGACGGTCATAACAGCTGATCCTTGATGGACTGTCCCTGTGTTCTGGGGTCTGTGCTGGTCTTTTGAGTTTTCCTAACCAGGTAGTATGTCAGTGAGAAAGAGGATTCTTTAGCTACCTCCGAGTCACCTGCTGTGTGGCCTGAGACAGGTTCATACTTCGCTGGGCCTCCACATCTTGAGGCAAGGTGGTGAAGGGTTGTTAAGAATCATTCATTTTTTAAAAAGTATTTATTTGTTTATTTTTAAAGGTTTCAAAAATATTATTTTATTTTATGTGTATGAGTATTATACCTGCATGTATCTAAGTGCACCATGTTGTTCAGTGCCCATGGAGGTCAGAAGAGGGCGTCAGATCCCCTGGAGCTTGAGTTACGGACAGTTGTTAATCACCCATGTGGGTTCTAGGAATCAAACCCAGGTCCTCTGCAAGAGCAGTCAGTGCTCTTAACTGCTGAACCTTCTCTCCAGCCCCTCACTCATTTTTTTTTTTTACTTGAAAATTTTTATTATGTTAAAAAATGTCGGGAGGGCATGCATGTGCCATATCATGAGTGTGATCAGAGGACTTGTGGCAGTCTGGTTCTCTCCTTCCATCATGTGGGTTCCAGGGATCAAACTCAGGTTGTCAGGCTTGGCGGCAAGGGCTTTTATCCACTGAGAATCTCACTGACCCTGTTGAAATTCATTCTCTGTTGGTGCTGGGATGTAGCTCAATGCGTAGAGTGCTTGCCTAGTACATCAAGGCCCAAGGTTCCATCCCCAGTACTGCATAGACTGGCATGGTGTGCAGGCCTGTAATCCCAGGTGGAAACAGGAGGATTAGCAGTTCAAGGCCATCCACGGCTACCTAGTGAGTGCAAGGACAGCCTGGGCTACATGAGACCAGGAAGAAGAGTCTGAGGGCTCAGTGTTCCACATTCCTATTCCCAGGCCAGAGTAGTGCTTTCCTGAGGGCTCGGCATGGTGCACCCGCCAAGCTTCCTGCAGGAAGATGTGGAATCCTAGATGATGGCTCACTCAGTTAATGAACTAAAGCTGTGAACCCCTGTCACCAGCTCCCTGTGCCTCAGTTTCTCAGCTGAGAGATGAGAAAGGCCAAGGAACTGGAATGAGTCAGACTGTCTGGACCCTGTGTGATTCTGTGACTCTCAGCATCTCGACCTGGAGAGCCACACGCAGCACATTGGCATTCTCCAGCCACTGCTGGTAGCGGGGCCTGGTATCTACAGGTCAGGCCACCCGGCTCCTCCACCCCTGTCCCTGGGAGCAGGGCTGTCGTGCCCCACTCTTGCACCATCCTCCCTGGTGATGCAGCTCGCTGTAGCTAGGGTGGGGGTGGGGGTCTTCCATGCTAGGCTGAGACACAGGAACTGCCACTGGTCAGGCAGGGTTTGTGGTGAGAGGCCAGTGGTAGGTGCTAAGCCTTGGAGAAAACCAGTATGTGCTGGGTGTGGGTGCTGGGGACTTTCTGGTGCCCCTTGGGTGGGCATGACCTCCGGTGTTCTGTGGTTCCTGGGCTCCCGGTACGAACCAAGCTGGAGCAGAACCTCAGAATGTGACTGCACTGATCATAGCGTTAATATTTCCATTGACAGTGGTGGTTTGAAGTCAGCCGTGCCAAGTAAGGTGTGAATCTAAATCCTGGGGGTTATTAGTTATGTGACTGGGCCTTAAGTTATCTAAAAACTCCAGGCTCTTTATTTAAAAAGCAGGGATAACCATCTTCCACCCTCCTCCCTGTCTGTCTCTCTGTGTGTCTGTCTCCCTCTCTGTCTCTGTGTACGACGTGTGTGTGGTATGTGGTGGTCTGTATGTGTATGTGGAGGCCAGAGGCCTCCTTGTTTTTTGGGTCAGAGTCTCTCACTGGCCTAGAATTTGTCCCTTTAGCTAGGCTGGCTGGCCATCCAGCCTCAACGCTCTGCCTGTTTCCACCTCCCCAGGGCTGGGGTTGCATGTGTACACCACCAAGCCCAGCTAAGAAGCTTCCGTTCTGGGAACTGAACCTGGGTCCTTATACTTGCAAGGCAAACACTTTACTGACTGAGCCAACACCCCATCCCAACACCGTTCTTTTCTCAGAGAACTGGTGTGATACTTCAACGAGGCCGCACATCTGAGGTGGGGGATGGAGCCCGTCCGTCTTTTTTCTCTCCTCCACCCGTGGTGTTGTCTCATGGAACCTCCAAGGCTTCTCTTCCTACAACTGAGCACATTGCTGCATGTTGTCCTTCTGCCCGGAACTCACTATGTAGACCAGGCTGACCCCTAACTCACAGATGCCTGCATGCCTCTGCCTCCTGAGTGCTGAGGTTAAAGGCCTGTGCCACCGCATGGCTGTTTTAAATATATCTAGTGAGAAATTATTCACACACACACACACACACACACAAATTCAAGCAAACAGCATGAAGGACCCTGGTCATCTGCCTTCAGCAGTACGCTGCTCCTGTACCGTCCCCAGACTTCCCTTACTGGGTTACTCTGAAGCAAATGGGTCTCGCTGAGTCTGAGACCCCACAAAGATCTCTTTATCCCACTTTTAGTTTTGGGGGGTGGTATGAGTGCTATGGTGCACATATGGATACCAGAGGCCAACTTGTAGCAATCAGTTCTCTCCATCCACTATGTGGGTCCTGGAGATCGAACTCAGGTCATCAAGCTTGGTGGCAAGCGCCTTTACCCACTGCGCCATCTTGCTGGCCCCCATCCCTATAGGCTTTAAAGCAGAACAATGCTATACTATGGGTGTGTGACTTGTTCTCTGTAAACAGTGGGGGTGACAGGAAGGAACTCAGGTCCCAATGTCTTGCTAGACACATCTGTCTGAAGGTGGAAGATGAACTTGAGGTGGGTGTCACATTCAGAGGTTAAGATATCTCTTCATTGGCTAGTCACAGGCCTGATAGGCCACCATTGATTAGCTCAAAACCCATTTCTAAACCCATTTCTTCCCATAATTAGGGACAATTCTGCTCAAACATTTCAAAGCTTGGAACTTGCAGAAGACCGCAGCCCCTCCCTGCCCCTTCCCAGATTCCTCCCCTCTGGTTCCTGAGCCTACAGTGACTCCTGCACAGCCACTGGTGTGGCAGGAACACAGGAGTGAGCCTTTCCCAGCTGGCTGAGGGTGGGAGCTCTGGCATCAGATCTGCCAGCTGCTCCCTTAGGCTCCCATGCTGAGCAGGATGGGACCAAGCTGAGCAGGATGGCACACGCCAGTCTGGGATAACGTCAGCCTGTGTGAGTGTGTTGACTTGCATGTACCCACGTGCCCTGCATGAGAACTGCTGTCTGTCCCTGCCGGGCCCCCTTCCCTGGGTCCTTCCAACACATCTGAGCCCAAAGGGTGCAGAAAGTATACTCTAGACCCCTGGAAGTCAGCTGGGGAAACAGGAACGTGGTGCCAGGACAGTCCCTGGCTGGGTGTGGGAGCTGGGCAGCTAATCCTGGTCTGCCCATCCAGGACACAAGCTTTCACCTGGGGGGAGCGTGTCCTGCTACTACATTCACAGGCTACATGTGTCACCAGTGTGCTAAGCTCTCCCATGCACTAGCCACAGAAGGAGGAACTCCTGGAGTGTTGAGAATTGAATCAGACCTGAATTGCAAAATTCAAACCCCAGAATCTCAGCCCTGGGAAGCCAGTCAGCAGCAGGACCCTGCTTGGTCCTTGTAACTACCCCTGGCCCAGTGCCTGACAAGCACAGGAATCCTGGGCTGTGGCTAGTGAGTTTCTATAAAGTGAAGGGGAATAGAGGCTAAACAGAGCCAAAGGTGGGTATCACAGCCTCCCAGGACCCTCCTGAGGACCTTTGCCAGATGCCACCCCTTTGCAGAGTTTGTCCAATATCCAGCCTGGCACTGCAGATGGCGATGTCTCTCCTTTCAGACCCTGCCCTATCCTTGGCACATGCATGAGGAGGGAGGTCCAGCGAGATCATTTGGAAATTGCTAAACCAACTTCAAATCACG